TATAATGTACTTGTAAGATAATAATGTGCTTGCTGGATTCTGAAAGAAAGAGGTGGAGACATTATGAGAGCAAAGCCTGGCACTTCTGTAAAACAATTTCATAAGATTCCTGATAGCTTTTTATTCCTGTTTTGAATATTAGCAAACTCCATAGTAAACCACCAAATGGCATAAGAAGCAAGAAATCACAGCATGGAAACAAAGTTACATCCAGCCTGCCCTGTAGCAGATATTTATTTGCACACACTAGAGATGCCAATTTAAGAGCTATTTGCCAATACATTGTATAATGCTTTGTGAGAGACACTAAATGGAATGTTTGTTTTATACTCCACGTATATTTTAATGCATGTATAAGAAGAAGTAAGCACCTTAAAAGCCTTCTCAGGGGAAGAAAAAAATAGAAAATAAGAAAATACAAAAAAAAAAAAGTAAACTCTGTCTCATTGTTTTCTGTATTTGGGGAATAGGACTATTTGTTTCTTTTATGACTTGCTGAACAGCAAAGAAGCTGTTTCCATGTCAGTGGGTGTGCAAGACCACAAGGGTAACAAGAAATGCCTCTCTATCCTAATTCAGGTCTTTTCTTAACACTGCTTAAGTGATCCACTACTGCAGTGGGGTTAACCTGAACTGGTAAGACTGAATAATCTGGTTTTGTATTTTAAATGCTAAATATATGCAAGGTCTTCTAAGGAACCATAATGCAATCTTGCTTCTCCTTGAGGTGGCTGCAGCCACAGAGGTACACATTAGCACAGGGTGCTCAACACAGCTGACTCAAGGATTTTCCTTGAGCCACATAGCAAAGTTATGGAAATCTGAAACAAACACTTCCAACTTGTCAAACATGTCCAAAAGAACAATCTCAAAATCACTGGCCACTTTCTAGCATCAACCAGGACCACACACAGGACTGACATAAAACCAACAGGGTCCTGTTCCTTGCCCTAATACTTTCTGCATGCCCATGCACATGTCACACATCTCTGCCGTTAACACAACACTCTGAGTGTCCTGCTTGACATGCTCAAGACAGGAAAGATGAGAATCTGATGCATTCATTCCCTTGAGTCTGACGCAGGAAAGTTGGCTTATGCCTTTCCATAATTCCACATCCCTACAAAAAGTTGTTGAGCTCAATTGTGCATAACATATTTCAGATATGAAAGGAATGGTGTTATTGAATTGTATTATAGCAGCATAAGTCTGCTGCAATAAGTCTGTACTTATTGAAGTACAGACCATACATAGGTGTTCTTTCCAAAGCTGCATTGGAAGCACAAAGATCCAGACATACAGCACTATTTTAAGACTTTGAACATTGAAACACTGAAATTTATTATTAATGTAGTGAAGCTTTGCATCTCTTCCCCAGATTTTCCTCCCATTCCAAACCACAACATGTACACAAACATATGAAAGCCTACAGGCATTTATAAATAAAGCTTGGTCAAGTCAAGTAATTCATCTGGAACACCACAGATTTTAATTTTTATGATCAACCCAACTTTGACATATTTTCACCCATCAGATGGCTGAAGACTGAGCTGCAGGCAGAAATCATCTGGATAATGAAAAAAATGAGTGAAATAAAACAAGAAACTGATGTCAGAGAAGAAGACAGATACAAGACAGGCACAGAAGAAGAGCAGACAACCCCACATAAGGAGAAGAAAAAAACCAATAATTTGTTATAAAGCATGAGAAGAACACAGAGTCATGAAAGCAGAGGAGGAGCTGGAAGTGATATATGGTAAAAGGGAGCAGGTGTAAGGTAAGTATCCCAGATTTGAGAACAATTTCCGGAAGAAAACTTCCAAAGTGAAAGCAGTCAGCAATGAAAAACTTAAGAGGCAGAGCAGAATAAAGAGATCTACAAAAAAAAAAAAAGAGGAATAAAAAGCACAGGGACAGGGGAAATGAGCATAATACTACAGAAGAATTCTTGTCAATAATGGGAATCTAAGCCTTGATCCACCAACTAGTTTTAAAGTGGCCACTATGGCCAAGTAGATATCAAATTTAGGCCCTGGCTGGGCAGCAAGTAGTGAAAAGGCATTCATGCCCCACACTCCCAAAGCCACTGAGATGTCATCTGTACTCTGAGTCAAAGAAAATGAGGCAAAAGCCTCTGGACTCAGAGTCAGCCAACCACACAATTCCTCCACTGCAAGAATATTCTAGCAGATAAAATTATGTGAAACAGCAATCAGATTTAACAAGCTTGAGGGAAACGTGGGAAATATAATACAGGACAAGTTAAAATTATTGCCTTTTAAGTTATTGTGATGAAAGTTATGTGACAAGCCAAACATCCTCACAGTTTAAACAGTTCATGATGTTTCAAGAGCTTTAAAAGAAAAGGAATGCCTGTATAGCACATTAAGTGTTCCAAACAATATGTCAATTGAACTCTCTCCATTTTAGAGTATTGAGATAATGGCTACTGAAAATGATTGAAAATATTTATGTGGAAATTCTGAAAATAAAAGAAACTGAAATTCAGAGCAAGCATTTCATCCCCAGTTTAGAATGTGTCATTATTAATGGGGTTTTTACAATTTTAGCATAAACATCTTTATTATCTAGGACTGGATGTGGGTTTTGATTCTGAGTTTTTGCCCTTTGAAAATGTTATAAAGCCCTTTGTATCTTGGTACTTATTAGTACTTATTAAGGAATTAGGAATGTCAGCGATCGTCTCACTCTTGCTTACATGCCTGCTAACCCTCCTCCCACCAAGTCTAACATCAAGTGCGTAGGAATTGATTTAAACATGTTAACAAAAGGGTTTTTTCAGCCAGGCCATCATCTGCTTTTAAATTAAACACTTTGATATGCCACTAGCAGACAAGACGCAGGAATTCCTCAAATTAATCTGAGTTTTTCATCCTAAAAAAGGATGCATACAGACATGTCTACACAGAGCTCAAATGATTACAATGAGGTCTCACAGACAAGACCCAACAGCAGACTAGTCTTAGGGCCAGGAAGAGTAGCAAATGACTCCTCTTCATTGCTTGAGCTGAGCAAAGACCAAATAGTAATGCAAAAGAAAAGAGACAAAACTCACAGCTGGGTATAACTAAGAATGTTAAAAATTTTTTTAAGAAAAAGGATTTTATCCTGTGTTCTCAGGGTCTCTGGAAAATCCTTGGGCAGGCTGGAGATACCTTGAGTGCATTAGAACCTGCTTTGGAAGGAGTGCTGCATACTGGAAGTGTGATGAAATGGCCTGACAATGTCTGAGGACTTTGTAGTCTCACAGGATTGTACAGCATGGTAACAGAGTTTGGGGTGCTGCAGCTTTGGGACAGGTTGGTTTGAACAGCTGTGTAATGCCACAGAACTCTCAGGGCATCATGGGCAGCTGAAGGGACAGCATGACACAATATGATGCAGCCAGGACACAAGTACAAGAGGGGCTGTGCTGACTCCACTGCCACACCCAGCCCCATGGGTAACAGCTCTGTAGGGCAACCTGAGCGAGCACTTCAACCGCTCAGCTCTGCTTAGTAGGACCTGGGTGTATTGGCAGGTGACAAGGTGAGCCCACAGTGTGCCTGCGCCACCAATGATATCCTGTGGTGCATCAGGTGGCCAGCAAGTCAAGGGAGGTGATCCTGCCCTGGTGAGGGCACATCTGGAGTGCTCTGTCTCCTTCTAGGCTCCTCAGCACAAGAAAAACAAGGAGCTACTGGAGAGGGACCAGCAGAGGCCACAAAGATGAATTGGGGTCTGAAACATCTCTTTTACGAGGAGACACTGCACGTCCTCATGCACTGCTGGCCCTGTTCAGTCTGGAGAAGACTGAGAGGGGATTCCATTAATGCACATAAATAGATCAAGTGTACATGACAAGGAGATAGTGCCAGACTCTTCACAGTGGTACCCAGAGACAGGACAAGGAGCAGTGTCCATAAACTAAAACAGAAGAAACTCCACTTGAACTTGAGTAAGAACTAATTTATGCTGAGGGTGGCAGAGCACTGGAACAGCTGTGCAGGGAGGTTGCCGAATTTCCCCCTCTGGAGACATTCCAACCCCACCTGGATGTGTTCCTGTCACTGCTCCAGGTGACCCTGTCTTGGCAGGGAGATTGGACTGGGTGATCTCCAGCCCTTATGATTCTGTGGTTCTGTGAACCCAGAGGAAAAGATCTGTGCTGCACGCCGTGACGTCACGGGTGGAGGTCTGGGGAACGGTGACGCTACTGCCGATGTCACATCTGGAATGGAGCTCAGAGAAGGAGCCGAGGGTAACAGGGTCACACCGGGGCTGCACGGCGACCTTCCCTCTGGTGGGCCGCCACCTCCTGCGAGGCGCCGCAGTGACGCCATTCGGGTGTGACGTAATGGCGCGTGTGGTGACGTTACCACGGCACTGCCACGAGGGGCGTGCGGCAAGCCCTTACCTGCCGGCGCTTGTCGGCCGCTTTGGGAGGCATGGCCGTCCCTCACGGCAGCCAGCGGACTGTCCTCGCTGCAATCCCGCGCCCACCCGGCACGCCGGAAGTTGATGGCGGCAGCCATGGCAACGCGCCGGAAGTTGCGGATGGATCCGGCCGTACCCTCAAGCCCCCCGCTTTCCCCTCGAGGGAGGAAATGGTACATCCCAGCTGCCGCTGCAAACAGAGCACCGCGGCCCGGAGAGAGCGACAGCGGACCCCGCCCCTTGATGAATATTCAAATAGGGGCGGGGTCACGGGAAACGGAGCGGCTGGGCCTCCACCCGGTGATCGAGGCCCTTTCCACTTCATAAATATTCAGTGACGGGGCAGGCCTCGGGGAATGGAGTGACCAGGCACAAAACTCGTTGTAGCGGTCGCGCCCTCGAATGACTATTCAAAAAAGGCGGGGGCGCAGGGAGACCACAACTCAGTCACCGAGGACAGCGCTCCGACCAAGATGAATATTCAAAAGGGCGGGGCACCGGACCCCAGCATCCGGGCCCCGCGCGAGGCCCAGTGCCCCGCCCTCATGAATATTCATAAGGGGCGGGGCGGCGGCCGGACCCGGAAGCGGCGCGGCTGAGTCACGGCGGCGGCGGCGATGAGGCAGCCGCAGCCGCGGGCGGTGTCGTTGTCATTGTCGGCGTCGCTGTCCCCTCTCGGCGTCTGAGGAGCCGCCCGCGCGCGCCCGCCCTGCTCTCCGCGCGCCGCCCGCCACACTCGGTGCCGCCGCCAAGATGATGGAGGAGATAGACCGGTTCCAGGTGCCCGCCGTGCGCGCCGAGATGCAGCCGCTGGTGAGGGGCGGGCGGGCAGGGCCGCGCTGTGCCCGGCTTGAAATGACCCCGGTGCCGAGGGGGTCGCGTACACGCCCCCGGGTATCGGCGCTGCGGGCGCGGCGGTGCCGCTGTTATATAACGGGGTGTTCTGGGCGCTGCCGCCATCCCCGGCGGGCCCGGGGCCGCTGCTGTGTCATCCCGGGCCATCCTCTTATCCTGCCCCCCGCACCCCCCTCCCCCCCCGTCCTCTTCTCCTCCTCCTCCTCGTCGTTCTCCTCCTCCTCCTACCCCCCCCCCCCCTCCTCCCCCGACGTGTCCCCGAGCGCCGTCGGTAGGAGACGCGGGCTGGGGCAGGCGGGCGGCTCCGCTCCTGCCGCGATGAAAACGCCGCTCCTCCCGGAGCATCCCGGGGTGTTCTCCCGCCCCCGGGCACGGGAATGGCCCGGGGACGAGGGGGAAGCGGTGGAGGGACTGAGGAGCTCGGTTGTAGGCGCTGAGGACGGTTGGGTTTTTAATTTACTTTCACTGGATAGGTGAGGTTTATGGAGGAATTGGGCGGTGTTTGTGCCTAGCCCGGGCTGGGAGCTGCGGGGAGCGATGCTCCCCGGGGACAGCAGAGCCAGAGCTGCACGGGTGGGTGTGAAGTTACAGGCGCTGTAAAGCCGCAGGACCTTCTCCGAGGATGGTTTTGTAGCCTGCTCTCGACACTAAGCTGCAGTGAGGAGATGCTCATCTTGTGTAAAGTCCAGGTGTTCTGCAAAGAAACATCTCTGTCAAAGCAGCTATGATCAATTAAGTTATTTGTGTAAGGAAAGCAATCTGTGAGGGTCTGATGCCGTGCCACAGCATGTGTTTTTCATATCAGGATGTTTTTTCACGTCATAGACACAATTATACTCAATTAATGAGCTCTGAAGAGCCTGACATAATGGTTGCACTACTACATGGTACCCTGGGGAACTTTCAGAGAAGGAAGTCTGCAGGCTCACAGGACTTTGCAAATGTGTAAGTGAGCAGGTAGAGTGGTCCTGGGCTTTTGATAGCTTTTGAAATCAGTTATTAAGGCAGACCAGCTGGCTAGCAGCCAGGGGAGATGCTAGACCATCATCAAGTACTGCAAGACTTCTTATGAGCTTGTAGCTGCATTGATCCAATGCCAGAGATTTGTTTGTGTATATGTTGTGCCCCATCTGCCTGCCACAGAACTCTGGAATGTGTTTGCCCATTTCTGTTTCCTGCCTGGAAGAAGTTCTCTTGTGTGTTTCCCTCCCCTTACTCCCATGTTCCTGCCTGGAGATGTGTTATAAGTAACCTGGGACCTGTTGAAATACAGTTCTTCTTAGCATTTAAGTGAAAGCTGGATAACGAACTCACTTGCTCAAGGTGTTGTTTCCTCTTGGCACCTGGAGTAAGCAATTCCCATCTTGGCATCTGATTGTGTGAGACAAGCATATGAATTGTTTGGGAAGGTGGAAAGAACTTCAGTGAAATACTTGCACAGTTCATTTTGGCAGCAGGTAAGGATAGGTTGTTGCCAGGTTTGTGCTAGCACTGAAGCACTTCTGAGATTTCTAATATATCAAGCTATAAGTTATTTAGAGTTGATGCAAACACAGCCTCGGTTCCTTGTTGCACTTAGTGTTTGTAAAAAGTTGAGTGCACCATAAATGTCTTATGAACAGAAAAGCTCTTTGAGATCTACAGACTCAAATTATCTCTCAGTGGCAAGAAAAACGTTTCTCTTATTGTGGGAGTGTTTGCGCTGCATTCTGGGTTTGGTTGGTTTTGGTTTGGTTTTTATTGGTTGGTTTTTTTTTGGCTTCAAACCTTTGTGGTGGGGCAAAAAACTGTCCATACAAGTTGATATGGGCTTGTTGCATTCCCTACTTATTGTTGGTGTTTTCATATAAGCGACTCAACAAATGTGACAAGAATGGCCATCTTTATTTGTTTTTTTTTGCAGGCCTAGTAGTCAAAGTAGCAAGTTTGAAAAAGTTATTACCAGACAAAACAATACGCCAAAATGTTTTTTGGAAACTCTATGATAATAGTGGAAGAGTGGAATTTGCAGATACATGCATGTTTGCATGGACATGAACCATGCAGAATCCAAACAGTTTCTCTGGTCCAACCCAGTTGTCTTGGGATATGATGGTATTTTGGGCAGCAGTGATAGTAAACTTAGGAAACAGTTTCCTTCAATGTGGAAGAATTAGAAAATTTTCACAAAGGGCTTTAACACTGGCATTTAAAAAGTACTCTGAATCTGTGCTTCAGGGCTTTAGTTCTTTTCTAACTGCTGGAGCTCAATAGTGAAACCTTGTGGTTTTGGGGGTCTTGAGTATTCAGGGGTCTACATGCACAGTTGTTGTGACTGAGTATATAAGATTTTTCCACAGGCATGGAAATGTTGACAGTGGTCTCAGAAGTGGGATGTAGCAAGTGTGGTACAGCATTTCTGGTGGTTTCCTCTGCTGTGTAGTTCCTGGTCTGTACTTTGCAGATAGGGACTTGCGAATCCTTGCAAGTGTGGGATTTATCATATGAATTTGTTTGGGCAATGCAGTTCTGGCCAGTACTACTGTTTTGTGCCATTACAATTACCATGTGTCTGTCACTCTCCCTCCCATTCTGTACTTTTAAGGTTGCAGTTTAAACCCAGTTAACAAATAAATTGCTCACAGCCACTTGCTCACTTCCCTCCCACATCAGGTTGGGGGAGAGAATCAGACAAGTAAAAGTGAGAAAACTTGTGGGTTGAGATTAAGACAGTTTAATAAGTAAAGCTAAAACCATGCACACAAGCAAAGCCAAACAGGGAATTCATCCACCATTTTCTTTCAGCAGGCGGGTGTTCAGCCATGCCCAGAGAAAAAGGGAGGGCTCCATTATACCTGATGAATACTTGGGAAGACAAATATCATCATTCCTTACGTCCCCCCTGTCCTTCTTTTTCCTAGCTTTATATGCCAAGCTTATGGCATGAAATATCTCTGTGGTCACTGTCTAGTCTGGGTGAGCTGTCCAATCTGTGTGCCTGTCCAACCTCTTGTGCACTCCCAGGCTCCTGGCTGGTGGAGTTGGGTGAGAAAAAGAAAAGGCCTTGATTCTGCAAGTGCTGCCCAGCAATAACCAAAACATCCCTGTGTTATCAATACTGTTTTCAGCACAAACCCAATACACAGCCCCCTGCTAGCTACTGTGCAGAAAATGAACTTTATCCCTGTCAAAATCAGCACAAAAGTACAGAATAACCATATAATCTCAGGACTTACTGTCTTCCCAGTTTAAAAGCTTTCAGTTCCAATGGTCTCTGGAAGAGATGCATCTGTCACTCTTTTCCACATCCAGAAAGCTGAAGTAAAAGTTTATTTTTCACATGCTACCTAAAAGCCACTGTGACTTGCCACTGAAGCTATATATAAAAATAAATGTTTCTAAACATTATTCCCTGCTAAAAATCAAACAAAGAAGGTCCCTTGCCTGATTTATAGAGTATACACTAGATGAAATATTTTTTCATCCTGTTCCAACAGGAACAGGGTGTCCCAGGAATGCAGTGTTCCCTCTGAGTGCTGGCTGGCCAGTGTGTGACAGGTCCTGAAATGAGGTTTGTGAAGCTAGGGTTTGCTCAAAATCCTGAACTTTGTGTTGTTGACCAGCATGCATGCTTTTTGAATGTCTGTTCGTCTGCATCGATAAAGTGTCATCTTAGCTTCTGATGTCTTTATACTGAACTCCAGGACAACTGCTGCTGAGCCGCCTGGAAACCATCTGACCGACGTCCTGGTCTGCCCATCTTCAAAATTAAAAGATTGGCTTCTCTTAGGTATAGCAGCTACATGCAATTCTTAGAATGCAGTCTGAAATCTCTCTGAACCCTTCTGCCCTCCAGACCTGCTGCTGACACTTGCACTATTTATTGATCTAATAAATTTGTCTGTCAAGTGTGATAGTGCACTGGTGTCTGGTGTCTACTGACAGTACATCCTGACAATAACCAGTGCTTTATTTACAGAGCAGTGACAGAGCACCTGACATGGCTTGTTGCAAAACTAAGTTCTTTACAGCTCAAATGTGTCTGGTTGGGGAACACCATCTCTTTGACAGCCTTGTCCCACCAAGCTCTCTGTTGGCTTCCCATTGCAAGGCTAAGGGCAGCACCCAGCTAGTACAGGCTGGACAAAACCTACCAGGATATCTGGTTTCTGAAAGTTTCTCTAATATTTATCTAATAACAAGTCAGATAGAGATTTTGTTACAGAGCTGAGAGGCGTTTGGCCTGCAGGTTGCATTTTGGCCAGGTCTGTCATCTGTGCTCTCCAATGCTTCACATTGGATGCAGTGATGTGAAATTAATGAAGTGGGTCGTTATTTTCTTCCTCTTTCCAGCTTGTTTGGATAAGCATTGTAAAGTCAAGCAAGCTGGTTTGACTCTATGTGACCTCTACAAATGTGTTTTGAGAACTGCTGGGTAACTGATGCACACCCAAGGGAGAGGCTTAGCACAAGACTTAATGAGACAGAGTTGCTATGTGCCGATGGACAAGATGGTATACAGTGCCTGGTAATCTGGTTTAACCTGATTAAACATCATTGAGTTGTCAGATGGGATGAGGCCCAGTGTTTCAAATCTTGAAGAGACACATTACACTGCATATTTTGATGTTGTGGTATAATTCTGTACATTTTCATCCTGAAAGAGAAGACAGGCTGGTAACTGGCACTTGGTCACATTCATGTCATGCCAGTCCATGAAAATGGAACTATTTGTTCTTATCCACATTTCTATTCTTGTATATTGGTCACATTTGGCTTCTATCCTAAAAATATCTGCCTTTTCAAATGAATATAAAATAATCTACAGGGTTTTTTGTTTACTCCTAATGTTTAGTGTCACATCGTCTTTATCAACATCATGCAAGCTCAACTGCAGGAACTCTTTTCTGCTTAGATTGTTAATTTCCAACTCAACCTGTTGTGATCCTTCTGCACTCACAGAAAGGTCTCTCTGCCTT